TTTATGTGGGAATGTGAGAAGCAAAGTTTATTTTTTTATTATTTCTTCATTTAGAGACAGTAAATAGGTCTGAATTACAGAATGTTCTGTGCAAATTCAAGTTTGGCTACTCAGTATAATATGACAGAAGTAAAGCATGTGCAAGAGCAAATGGAAAGTTGAACAAATGGTTCAACCCTGAGCAGAAAATAAGAAAATAATATATAATGCCTCCTCAGTTGTGTAAGGTATTTACAGATAAATGTAAAAGGAATGCTTGTGGTCACATTAGTGGTATGTTAGTTGAGACTATGAATCTATGTTTATGTCGATGTTATGAATCTGAATATTAATATATCAAAGACCAAGTTAGTTACAGGTAGTCCTCGGTTAACTTTCATTCAGCGATTGTTCAAAGTTACAACAGCACTGCACAAATGGTACTTATGCTCAGTCTCCGAAGTTACAACCACTGCAACACCCCTGTGGTCACTTGATCAAAATTCAGGTGCTTGGCAGCCCACCCACACTTACAACTGCAGGGGTGCTTCAACTCCCCCCACCTATCTCCTCCCTCATCCCTGCCCTTTTTGCTGCCCTGCCCTCTGCCACCACTACCACCCTGAGCTCTGCTGGCCCTGCCACCCCCAGCTGACCTTCACTGTCGTCTTCCTCCCACTGCTGAGGCACGCCTGAAGGTCAGCTAGCAGCGGCAGGACCAGCACAGCACAGGGCAGCTGGGTCAGCAGAGCTCAGAGCGGTAGGGGTGCAGGGCAGTGGCTGGGGCTTCGCACTGTGGGGCTGGGGTGGCTGGCTGCAGTATGGGGCTTGAGGCAGCACTCCTCAGTGGCAGTGGCGGCGGTGCTGAGGCTGAAGGAGAAGCCTGGGGGCAGGGACAGCCAGCTGAGACTGCTGAAGGCTCTGGGCCTCTACTTTGGCCCCAGCGCTGCCACACTGCCGAGGAGTGCCACTGTGCAGGGTGGCCAAAAGGGCAGAAATGGGGGAGGAGATAGGCGAGTGGGGGGAGCTGGAGAGGAGGCAGTCCTTTACCTTACCGAGGCTCACGGCTAGGAGGGACCAAGCTGGGAATGGCTTGGATTGGGTCCTTGCCTAATGACCAGGTGGGATTCACTTAACAATGGCAATAGGGACTGCCAGGATTGCCGTCACTAAGCGATGCGGTCACATGATGTTGCACTTTACGACTGCATCACTTAGTGATGGAAATTCCAGTCCCAATTGGCGTCGTTAACCGAGGACTACCTGTGTATTGGGCAGGGAAAGTAACATGAACAACTGCAAGTTATATACAAACAGCAAAAACAGCAAGTAGACGAGTTTGTGTATCTTGGCAGAATGTTTCCTAAGAATGGGAAAATTAATACAGAAATGTTAACATGTTCAAATGATGTTAGAAAGATAATGGGGTAGAATGTGGTTTGTGGCAAGAAATGAATACTTGATGAAAAAAGTAAAAATGGCTATGTGAGAGATTGCAAGCAGGCTGAGAAAGAGGCTGGAGGACCTCTAGACATAAACAAGTAACAGAAGGGAAAGGAGTTTATTAGTAGCTTATCTCATAAACAGCAATTCAGTTCTGGGAGTTGAAGTCTACACATCTTAAAGTTGCCAAGTTTAAAAAACACTGAGATAGAGTCAAGAATGAATGGTGTTGAATGAATGGAGACCAAATAAAAAAATGAATGACTGCTACAAAAGAGAATAAGCCACAATCAAATGGCAGAATAAATTTATGAAGAAAAACTGGATAGCTTGAAAGGAAGGGGAAGATGGAGAAAGACTTGTGGTGGATAGATGTGGTGAGATCCTGAAAGAGAGAAAGATAAGAAATTTTAAAAAGTAAAGGCAACAAATGAAGTGGTGCATGGATATGGAAGCAAGGATGGTTTGTCAGGATACAAAGGTTTGGAGGTATAGTAATTGATGTCAGTGTAGATACAGCCTATGTTTACTTTTTTTTAAATTATTGCATGTCCATGTCTTTGGCTTATTATTTCTTACTCTTTTTCTGCACTCTACATAATTTTGTTACTCCAAAAGGGAATAGTTTAACGAGTATGTATGCACTAGTGAAAACATCTATCTTAAAAATTTGCCATATTGTAATGACAAAAGGTCACACAAGGTGGTGTATTTTTCTGTAATACACATTATTCCAATTTTAATTATGCAACTTGAACCAAATTAAAGACCTTCTGGGCCCTTCCATATGCCACACACAATACTTGCACTTACTTTCCAAAACAATCACAAAGTATGTTGATTTTTACAATTCATGACCATTTCATTTCTCTGCAAGCGTCACATTTCTTCAAGAAGATAACAGAGCATGCTAGTCTCTGAAAAAATTAGCAAATTTAGCTAACAAGCTAAACTAATAACACAACTGGAAAAAGTAGCAAAAACAATACAAACGTTTGAAACCATGCACTTAAAACAAAAAACTGCATGCTTCTCCATTCCAGTGTTAGGGCAAAGTGGGTTTATAAACACCAAGGTTAAAAAAAGGTTTGTTTTTTTTTAAAAAGGATAATATACACGTAACACCTGAGAACTCACAAATAGTGCTCTATAGAGTGAGGTAGTATTTTCACAAAAGACTAGTCCCGATGCTCTCCTCTCTTTTAAGTATCCACACCCAAACTTTCCCTCGTAGATACTCTTTAGGAAAATGCAAATGGAAGGAGAAAGCAAAAAGTGATGGGATTCGGGCAGTCTGAGTGCTCAAGCAGCTTTACAGAAAACAGTCAAAGGAGTCTGAAGTACTGATAAGCATATGAAGAAATGATAAACCAGTGGCCCTTTTTTCCACTACTGACCTAGCTTCAAGGCAATTTCTTTCTCCTCTTGCAATATTGTGCATTTTAGTTGCAAATATCACTTGCATAACAAAACCACACAACCTTTCAGTAATGACTTTTTAATACACTTTTATACTGCCTTTTTATGCCAGACATCAATAAGGTTGCTGCCATTTTAAATGAGAGGAAAAAAAAATTTCCAAACAGAGAAGTTGTGCTGTAATCTTGGACAATCTGTAGCCCATCTGGGCAAAGGGAAAAGCTCTATTTCTTCTAAGGAAATCTTAAATATGTTATACTATCAGGTGTTAGGCAATAAGATCCATTATTACCCTTTGTTTCTTGTTTTTATTTTAAATAAAAAGTATTCTATTCAAGAGTTTCAGGGCATAAAATGAAAATAAAACTAACACAAATATAATAATGGGCCCAAGATTTCGCCCCATGTATTGCAGAAGGGCTCTGCGTACCCACGTGCCCTCAGATCACAGGTTGCCCATCACCAGTCCAGATAAACACTAACATTTTTACTGGCATAGTAAGGATTGCAACATCAGTCCTCAACAAATCATTCCAAAGGACTTTCCATAACTGGGAGATTATTCCCAGGCTGACAGGAGCTGCCCACTTCATTATTGAGCAATGATCCATGACTCTAGAGTAGACAGCTCTTTTCTGGCCTAGAGCCACACTATCTGGGAGTCAGAAGGGACATAAGACAGTGATATGATTCATCTTCTTGGAGGACTGGGTTTTATTTATTTACTTATTCCAGTCTTAGGATCCTCCAATTAAAAAAACATGGAAAAGGAATCCCAGCTGGCAGATTATTCATTAGAAACTTTTTATATTTTTTTCTTAACAAATTACCTAATTTGGAAAGGTTTGTGTTCATTCTGAATAGGAGTTTTTACTGTAAAAATGTATTGAAGGGAAGAATAGAAAAGCTTCACCAGAATAATATTACCAGTCAACATCCTATATACACACCAATATCACTGTTACCAACTTCACCTAAAGTTTACAAGGAATTCTGTTTTAGAAATGGCTAGGTCATAATTAGAAAGTTTCATAAAGACCATTAATACTTGTTCAATATTTTATCTTCAAATCACATTAGTCAGCTTCGTTGGGGGTTTCCTTCCTAAGGGCAAGATGAAGAAAACAATCATATGCTTCATTACAAACGTCTCTGAAAAAATATTTTTGGGCTTATTTGAGGACCATTCATTACTATTTGTTTAGTCCTGGATAGGAGGGTATTAAAGACATATCATGATTTCCAGCTTAAATCTATGGAATTCTCCATGAAGCACTCGAGTTATATATATATATATGGCCTCTAGTTATATATATCTTTAAAGATATACAAGTGAAAAATCTGCACAAGCAGAATAGTGTGTGTGGGCACATTTTATTTTTACAAAATGAAAGGTGGTTCCACAGCTATTCTAGGAACTGCTATTTGGGAACAGTAAACAGAAGTTTTCATTATATGCTTGTGAGCGTATGTGGGAAAGTATTCACACCAACCCTAGAGACCAGACTCACAGGAACCTTGCTCAAACATTTATGTTTATGAAAAATCATTACCAACTCACAACAGTTGAAGCCAGTTTCAGGTTATCTCAGCTGGTTTGCTACAATGAAGCATGATTTTTCCTTGCTCAGATCATCCTACTATATTGTACTATTTGGATCTTAAATTTTTTACAGTAAATAAGATTCCATTCACAGAAGAAAAGGCACTGATTGAATGCAAATATGCAAGTATATGTCTATAGGACAGCAGCTCTAGATTTAGAAGCACACAAATACAAACCTTGCAAAAGTTCAATCCTGAATCCAAGCAAATATTCATTCATTTGAAGGTGGAACTGACCACAACTGCCTGATTTTCTTTTATAGGACTGTCCACAGAATTTGTTTATAAGATTACCACATCAATAAATGCTGTAGATTTATTGTTAATTAAAATGGCATTGTTCTGTGGACATGATTAGAATACTGACACTGGAAAATAAATTCAGCCATAAGGTATGTTTATCATAGAAAATTGCCAATGTTATGGAATGCATGAGAAAAAGTAATTAAAACACAATGTGAATTAGTGAGGCAAAGTGGCATAGTAGTAAGCAATGTGTGACCAAAGAAAATTAGGAATCGTTCAAGAGAAGCTTCATTGTCACAAAAACTTACTGGCAAATTTCTCGCTGAATCCAAATAAAGAATAAGCAGTGCTGATGAAAGCCCATCGTTGGCTTGATCTTTATCAGCTCTAATACTTTTTAGCACCTAAAATCACAAAAGTATAATTAAAAACTCTAGTTTTGTGCATCGTTTCTAACTAAAAAGAAAGCAAATTATAAAATGCAAACTAGATAATTAAAGTGTTACCGTACCTAATAATTTAAAAACAATTAATACTATAACATCTTGTATATCAAAGAACAAGAGAGCCAACAGGTTTCTAAAAGTAAAACGTTTTAACTATTTCCAGACATAACCAAGCTAGATATGAGTAAGAATTCCTTATCTGAAAGGAATTCTGCAACATGGAAATTTTTCACAGCATTATTTCTTGTTTTCAATGCTATTTCTAAAGGACCATGGAGTTATTTTTCAATATTAACTATCAGGCATGTAAGAAATGATATGAAAAGGGTATGAAATTCTTTTTTTATATATACAATAATTTTATTAAAGATTATAATTGCAACAATGAACACTAACACAAACTGAAAAAATAGAATAAAAAGAAAGTAGAAGGTGCAGAAAAGGAAGAAAAAAAGGGGGGAATACAAAGAGAAATAGAAAAGAAAGAAAAATAAGTATAGTAAAGAAAAAGATATATAAAGAGTGACTTCCCACCTTCATCTCAACAAGTATAAACAATTTTAGTAACATCACCTTCTCTTAAAATACAACACATGACCTCTTCTTCCCATATCCCATCTCTTATCTATAAACAAATCCATAAAGCATCGTCATTTCAG